TGCGTTCGGTCTGTACTCACGACCTCGGTCAAGATTCTCCCATACAGACCTCCTGCTCGGTTAATAAGAGCTAAGTATTAAGTTAGTTATGTCATAGTAGGCTTTATTGCCTTTAGACAGATCTAGTCAGACTTCAGAATTATTTCAAGTCTTCAACGCCTTCAAAGTCATGATATGACAGATAATCTGACGTTTTCCTTTGTCTAATCCAGGAATATTCACAAGAATATGTTCAGCCTAAAATCGGTAGAAATAATTAGAATTTCCCCCTCGAGGGGAAGCTTGTCCATCGCCGATTTACCCACCGGCCTAAAGTTTTCTCTAGTCGAACAAGCAATTTGCCGCTGGGTCCCGTTTGCTATTCGACTTTGGGGCAGCCTGAGCCACTGTGAGAGTATTAAAAAGGTGTTGCGCAAGAACGCAACACAGTGTCCCGAGCCAGGGCATGAACCCAGACCGGTCAATTCAGAGTTGAGAATTGAACCATTTGGTCACTGGGTCTCCGGCTCATGTTTTCGAAACAAATTATATTTCTAAATGCCTTTGACAGTGGCTGGTTTAAATTTGTTTCTGTACAAGGNACCCACCGGCCTAAAGTTTTCTCTAGTCGAACAAGCAATTTGCCGCTGGTTCCCGTTTGCTATTCGACTTTGGGGCAGCCTGAGCCACTGTGAGAGTATTAAAAAGGTGTTACGCAAGAACGCAACACAATGTCCCGAGCCAGGGCATGAACCCAGACCGGTCAATTCAGAGTTGAGAACTGAACCATTTGGTCATTGGGTCTCCGGCTCATGTTTTCGAAACAAATTATATTTCCAAATGCCTTTGACAGTGGCTGGTTTAAATTTGTTTCTGTACAAGGCAGCATGTCATCTGTTTCGTTAAGTGCAATTTTCATTGAAATTTCTTTCATATTTGCTATTTTTGAAACATCAAAACTAATTTAAATGTAAATTTTCGTCAGCGTGAATGTGTCAAACGGCTTGCACATCAGTTGTTGCTTTGGTGATAAATGAAGCTATAATTACGACAATGACGGATCTTATTCAAATGTGACAGTGCTCTCTTTCCTTTTTCTACCTTTTCCTTCGTGTCGTGTCTTAATACTTGTTCTACAAACGCCAGCGAGCGTGTTGAACGTTGAAAGTTGTTTTCCTTTCTTGTTGCCTTGTTGGTTGCCAATCTTTGATACAGAACTGAGCTTCTTTACGGCAAGACCGAGTTATAAAGGGTATCTTCACTTCGCCGCCTTCAGAATTATCAAACTGGTAGGTTAAACGAAATTAAATCATACCGTTTAAAGCTACAACGCAAAAAATGGTGAGGTACTGGCGAAATGGGTTTTCCCAAAATTAGTGTCATGATTTTCCTCGCTCTCCTCAAGACATTTTGTAAAATTAGAGTCCGGTTTAAGTCAATATTTTTATCTACTAATCAACTCATTTATTCACGCAACCTGTTTGGTTAATTTTGTAGCAAACATGTAAAGAGAAGTTACCGTCTTAATTAAAGGTTTTTTTTTTACAAAAATATATATTGACATTTCCATCGTCTCCAACTTGGTCGTTTTTCAAGGCTTTTAAATCTGACGTGTGTAGTTATTTCTCCGTTTAATACTTATTTTATGGCACGGAGGAAATATTCTCTTGCGAAACACCTGCCAAGGTAAATAAACACGCTATTTATCGAGGGACATACTGTTGGAAAGTACGTTTCGTTGAGGTTCTGAATAACACAATAGAAAATACCCGAATTGATCCGTTAAGCGAAATCGCCGAACGACATTTTATGGCGATCTGAGTTTTTGTAAGAACTCGCCAAATAACCCGTAGGGAACTTAAAAAGAGAGATAAAGGGGTGCCTTTTGTCAATATTGAAATCAGCTTCGAGGTGACTTGTAAGTGGGCAGCTGTTTAATTTAGCTTGAAAACGTGACTCAAATGACTTTAAATGAGCGGGAAAGATTAACGCACGATCAACTTTAGGTTAAATTTGTTGCGTGAAAGTGTAGCACCATTGACTTTGGAATTAATGTGATGTGGGAATGGTTATTTTCTAGTCTTTTCTTTCTGTTGCGAAATAAACAATCTACGCACGTTCAGTTTTCTTTTTTGAAATAAAATAGAGTTGCCACGGTCAGGGGAAAAAATTCTTCAAGGTCAGAGAAAAGTCAGGAAATTTTATTTTGAGTCAAGGAAAATTGATATTTTGAAGAAAAGTCAGGGAAAATTGAAATGATTTAACACGGCTGATTAAATACCAGTGAAGGTTGGAAGAATCATTGGGGTCACTGCGATCTCAACGATTTTTTCCCTTAGTGAAGAAGGAAAATTTGTGGAAAACTTATCAGTCTTAGTGGATGGGTGCGGGAAACGACGGCTGTAAGTTGAGGCCAGAAGCCGTTACTAGATAGATCTGACATTTTGTATTTATATTGTTAGGGAAACTGATTTTATTTTGTCAGGGAAAAGTCAGGGAATTTTGAAAAGTGTTGCCTGTGGAAACAGTGTAAAGGGAACATTTGTTAGCAAAGTTTAAATTTCCCTTACTCTTCTAGAATTTCTTATAGTCCCGATGTCAACACATCAATTCTCAATACTTATCTCCATACATTTCTTATAGGTCTATTTGGGAGAACTTAGTTACATGCCAAAAAAAATTCCCTCAAGTGTTCACTTTGTATATTCTCATAGCCTAAAGCTTCTTCTCTAATGATACTGTAAGAAGAAATCAGATTCTAATCACCACTGACCCCCTTTCCTGTTTCTCTTGTTTTCCCAGTCTCAAGACTCTCCGGTATGGTCGGACCCAGGCTCCAGTAGGATCCCTCTCAGGTTCATCGCGTCTCACGCGGAGCCAATAAGCCCGGTGTTTAGTGGGGGCATTGGTTCTATACCCCTCATTTCCGAACCGGAAGAAGTCCCCGAGGACTCGTTTGACCTGATGAGGCACCTAAGACTGAACAAGCCACAGCACGTGACCAAAGGAATGTTTCTAGAACCGGTCACGGAAGAACTGGAAGTTTCGTCTGTTGGAAGTGGCACCGTAAGAACAAAGATATCTAGAAAACTTTCAAACGAAGAAGGAACAATAATTGTACGCGAGGAATCTCTAGAACAAGCTGGGAATGTAGAATCAGAATTGTTTCTGAGTGTTCCAGTTATAGGAAGCGAGCAAACAGGCTTTGATTCCAACGAGACAAACCTAACGACAGACGTTGAGATAGTTGCCAATGAGTCAGGGGTCTTTGTAAATGTAGACGTTGAAGAAGACACCAGTGTTTTTCTTCCTGAAAGTGCTGTGTTGGCTTACTCAGTGAAATCTTCAAGCGAGGTCGTTAATTCAAGTAATGACAGCATAGAGAGTTTTCAATGCGAGTCGAGTGTAAGTGATTATGATAATCAAGATCTAGCCGTTGAAACAGAGGAGACAGTCGCAGATGTTACGCCAGCCTCGGCAGTCCCTGCCCGCTTAAGAGTCGCTAACATTGTTGTGCAGGATTCTTTTGAACTCGAGGAAATCGGAAATGAGGAATTCAACGAAAAAGAATTGTCAGCTTCAACAGATCAAGAAAACAGTCTAGTTGTCAAGTCTTCGGAAAAGCGCCTGGTGCGAGAAAATAGCGGAGAAAGCAGCGGTTTTGAAGAAATGCTCCTTGACAAAGAATCAGCTAGTCCAAGTTCATCTTCACCGATTCTCAAGGCAAAGGAATTTCCCAGTGTTGCACATGTTATTGTGAGTGATAGAAGACCTTTGCAAGCACTATTGGATCCTGAAATGTTAAGCTTGGCTGTGGAAGAAAAATCCCCGCGAGCGACTTTCGCGCAGAGAAGAACAAAGTCCTTGACTAAACAACGACCCATTGACGAGGAAACGTATGTATCATGGGCCTTTAGTCCCAGGCCATCTGCGGGAAAATATGTTGATGATAGTCTAGGCACTGGTGTAAGCCACGAAGAGTCGAATACAGCATTGGCGTGTGAAGATACTGGGTCGAGTCTTCTCGTGGATAGTGCTGAGGAACCAGTGATTGAGTATTTGAATTCTACCCTACGTAGTTGTGTTGGTGAAACAGACGAAAACTGTAACAGAATGTCAAAAATTGAGTCTGTAAAACTGCCGGTAGCTGTTGAACCTTCTAAGTTAGAAGAAAGTAATAGCAGTTTTGAAAAACAAGGCGAGACACTAGCGGGAAGCTTTGAAAACATAATCCAAACCAATAAAGATTCCTCTAGTCATCCTGATGATACCAATAGTGCGATGAGAAAATCTGAGTTTAGCTTTCATCTTCGAAGTGAGGAAGCTCTTAATGGCGAAGAAAATATCTCACACTCAAGCTTATCAGAAGAGGAATTAATCGCACATGAAGGTGCATGTGAAAGTAAGCGAGATGTCTCTAAAATGACAGATTCCTGTTTTTCTGCCCAAGGAGATGAACCTAACACGCATATTCAACAGGAAGAGGAATCTCAGACATCTTTGTCTGAAGAAAGCGAATCAGCTGGTGCATGCGCAGAAGTAAGACAGAGGGAAGAATCCCAAAAGGCCTTGCAAAAGATTGATTCCGAATGTCAACAGGTCAGTCGAACATGATTGTATCAATATATTTATTTTTGGACATTGTGGAACAAGGTATGTTTGAAAAAGATGTAATTGCGTCAGGTAGTATTCCCGAGGCATAAAGAGTGGCCTTTCTCTAGCCCGTTTTCCTGTAGACTCGATAATCAGCCGCTCTTCGGGAAAGGAGCCCGCGCTGCTCGGTGCAGAACGTAGAGCGGATTAGAGAGGGCGGCGAAAATTGAGTCTAGCTTTCATAAATGAAAAAGAAAATTAATTTTTATTTTAAGTATTTTACAAAGTTAAAACCGAATCGAGTGTGGTTTGTGATCGATGGGGTTGGGTTTGACAACTTTGAAATGAGGTGTCGTGATTTTGATATACATAGCAACTATGACAATTTTAAAGATTTTCTTATATTACGTGAATTGAACTCGATGGTACATGGCTTTCGTATATGGTGACTACCAAAGAAAGTTTGAAGACCTGGATTTGAGTTTTAAATCACGTAGCTTGCCAGTGGGAAAGGACTACGTGATCCTTTTCTTTTAATTTGGACGCATGTTGCAAAACAATCAAGTGCAAAAGCGAAAAAAAAAAAACGTCGAAACAATTTTCGTTTCGACGTTTTGGGTGAACGGCATAAATGAAAGCGGTGTACATAACATAGTGAATAGGGATAACATAGTGATAGGCATAACATAGATAGTAGATTTCAAATACGCGAAAATGCCGTTTTATTTATTTTTCGGAGTTGTTTTGTTCTCTTGTTTGTTTCTAAATAAATGTGTTTTATTTTTTAAATCTGATTTGTGAGTTGTTTTGTCCGAGTGTAATTTGAAGCATTGGTACTTTTGGACGTAAGCGTGGACAATGTTTTAGTCCGATAAATCGTTATGCTTTCCAAGTTCTCTTTTAAAAAAGAGAGTTGAATGTAGGGACGAATTATTATGTGGAATTGTCTTCTTGGACATACGGGTGGAAAAAGTAGTGGTTGTCAGTTGATACTGCTGCAGCTGCCGTTGAGGAAATCAACATCATCATTGTTAGTGGCAGAGAGTTGAATGTAGGGACGAATTATGATGTGTGGCAATGGAATTGGACATACGGGCAAAAAGGANCGCAATTTGTTCTAAAAATAGAAAAATTGTCCCATATCATAGGTGCGCGCGGATCCCAAGACTTACGGTCTCCGTCCCCGATTATGGCTCCTGTTTTAACTTAGTTGGTTCCGCAGTTTTCACGATAACCGTATAATATGTGCAAGGTATTTCCATCTATTCTTAACTGTGCCGGAAACTTTAGTGTGTTGACCATTCGAATGAAATATATTGAGCAGTACTTTCACGTGGTACTGTTTATTATGCTGTACAAGGTGGCTCTAACTTTCAAGTCTTTGCATGAAACTCTAGTGTGTGGCCATTCAAATGAAAGCTATTGAGCAGTACTTTCATGTGGTACTGTTTATTATGCGGTACAAGGTGGTTCTAACTTTTAAGTCTGTGGCTGAAACCATAATGCGTAACCATTCAAATGAAAGCTTTTGAGTAGCACTTTGGTGCGTTTATTATGCTGTACAAGGTGATCTTAAAGTTTGAATCTGGGCGAATTCCTAGTGCTTCCTGTTCGTGTGTGTCCTAAATTCAAGCGAAATGGTAGCAGATCTTCAGTTGTAATTAATCTCTCCTATTGACTCTAACACTACCCACACTATCCCTAGGCTAGCTTTTGCTAACAGTGGGTATAGTGTCTTATGAATTTACTAACACTCAAGTCTTGAAAGTCTTAAGTCAGATGGGGTGCGCTTATTTCTTGCGGGATTTGACACCCAATCTTAAGGTCGCAAGTGATGCCCTCCAACATGTGCTCTGATCTGTTTGATTCTTATCTGCATGAGCTTCCAAGGTGTTGTGAAGTAGCAGGTGTGAAAGGAAACCTTGTACGTCCTTACAAGTAAGCTGACTCGTCGCGTCCTGGGGTACGGTATGTCGAGAACTGTTTCCTGTGAAGACATGACCAGGATCGAGGAACGAAGACGGTGAAATGGTTGATAGCGTTATTTGACTTTGTTAGCTTAAACAGTAGTTGAAATAAATAACCCAGTGTTGATTCTGTTACATAAATAACTTAATGTTGATTCTTGGTATTAGAGCACTTTTCAATGACTTTCAAGAAGGGTTATTCGTCTTGTTTGGCTTTTCATAGATCATCTTCAAAATCGGTTAAAAAACCTCTCATAGTAAACTAGGGGAAACCAATCTTTATTTGTCTTCTCATGTGCTTGCCACTGATTACATTGTGGTCGAGCTTGGCACAAGTTTCATGTTGTTCCGAGCACACTTTTATCGGTTAAAATCGTGCACACAGATTAGATTGTGTTGCCGCGCTGTGGAAGGCAAAGGAACACACGAACTCTGGTCTTAGCTATTCAACAGTCATCATGAAAAATGCTCTAAACCGTATTGCATAGTTTAAGAGATCCATTTTCCCTCGTGAATTTACTTTTTTTTCGTTTCTTGTCCTGCACTGTAGCATTACCTTCATGAAATTAACGTTCTCGAGCAGAGCATCCAAAAGTACGAATCCCACTTGTCTTGTGAAGGACCGCTGGATGGAGTCAGAGCCTCGAGTTACACTAAACATATGCTTGTACGGTAAGTCTCGCTATTTGTTCTGTTGACTCGTTCTCTCTTTGCCTCTTGGCTCGCATTTGTTCTTATGTATTTCATCGGATAATTCAAGTCGGAAATGGTACAGTTACCGACTGATCCTCACAAAGATGCAAGAAGAATTTCCGGAAATAGCGCGGAGACAGCAAAGCTTACGTCACAGAGGCCGAGTTCAACCTCGTTCGCAAGGTCTCCCGTCTTCCTTTCCAACTGTGTCTCGCACCAGGCATGGGACCGGAAAGAACAGAGATCCTAGAAATTACACTGATCTGAAGACGGCTTCATACAGTCGAAAATGTCGTCTTCTCTCTTCTAACTCACTTGTTATTGATAGTTTGTAAACCTTAATGAAGCAAAACTTAGGTCACTATTTTGACTGGTTTTGTGTAATTATAACCGTTTTTGTTTTGACAGTTTTCCTGTCTGATCAAATATTTTTCGATTAACGACACTCATTTTGATGCAAGTGCTCGTTATTCTCGCCACACTAGTTCGTTAAACTTTCTTCGTTTCAACTATATGGTGTGGTAAAGAACTTAATTGATATAAGAAGCAGTGATAATCACCGTACCAGCTTAAAATGATCTTTTGAGCAAACTGTTTTCTGAAATACTAATGGAGTTTTTTCTTCTATTTTGTAGTATAACAGAAGAAGTGAACGCCATTCACGAGCTTCGTTTATTGATCAGTTCAGAACTGGAAAGGATGAGGTATTTACTCTCGGAGCGACGGAAAATGCTGCTTGCGGGAGCTACAAGGAGTCCTGTTTGTTCTGGCGTAACTCAAAAGGTAACTTTACCTACAGAAGTTCAACAACTTCACTGAAACAGAGTCTCGACTCCTGGAGTACTTGAATGAACCCCATTGTGTGACCATTCAAATGAAAGCTATTGAGCAACACTTTCACGTGGTACTGTTTATTATGCTGTAAAAGGTGGTTCCAACGTTTAAGTCTGTGTCTGTGAAACCCTAGTATGTGACCAGATTCAAATGAAAGCTATTGAGCAATACTCTCATGTGGGGTTCTTTATTATGCTGCATAAGTCTGTGGATGAAACCCTAGTGTGTGACCATTCAAATGAAAGCTATTGAGCAGTACTTTCATGTGGTACTGCTTATTATGCCGCACAAGGTGGTTCTAACTTTTACGTCTGTGGATGAAACCTTAGTATTTGACCATTCAAATGAAAGCTATTGAGCAGTACTTTCATGTGGCACTGTTTATTATGCTGTTCAAGGTGGTTCTATAACTTTTAAGCTGCATAACTTATGCATTATGCTGCATAAGTCTGTGGATGAAACCCTATTGTGTGACCATTCAAATGAAAGCTATTGAGCAGTACTTTCATGTGGTACTGCTTATTATGCCGTACAAGGTGGTTCTAACTTTTAAGTCTGTGGATGAAACCCTAGTATTTGACCATTCAAATGAAAGCTATTGAGCAGTACTTTCATGTGGCACTGTTTATTATGCTGTTCAAGGTGGTTCTATAACTTTTAAGCTGCATAACTTATGCATTATGCTGCATAAGTCTGTGGATGAAACCCTATTGTGTGACCATTCAAATGAAAGCTATTGAGCAGTACTTTCATGTGGTACTGCTTATTATGCCGTACAAGGTGGTTCTAACTTTTAAGTCTGTGGATGAAACCCTAGTATTTGACCATTCAAATGAAAGCTATTGAGCAGTACTTTCATGTGGCACTGTTTATTATGCTGTTCAAGGTGGTTCTATAACTTTTAAGCTGCATAACTTATGCATTATGCTGCATAAGTCTGTGGATGAAACCCTATTGTGTGACCATTCAAATGAAAGCTATTGAGCAGTACTTTCATGTGGTACTGCTTATTATGCCGTACAAGGTGGTTCTAACTTTTAAGTCTGTGGATGAAACCCTAGTATTTGACCATTCAAATGAAAGCTATTGAGCAGTACTTTCATGTGGCACTGTTTATTATGCTGTTCAAGGTGGTTCTATAACTTTTAAGCTGCATAACTTATGCATTATGCTGCATAAGTCTGTGGATGAAACCCTATTGTGTGACCATTCAAATGAAAGCTATTGAGCAGTACTTTCATGTGGTACTGCTTATTATGCCGTACAAGGTGGTTCTAACTTTTAAGTCTGTGGATGAAACCCTAGTATTTGACCATTCAAATGAAAGCTATTGAGCAGTACTTTCATGTGGCACTGTTTATTATGCTGTTCAAGGTGGTTCTATAACTTTTAAGCTGCATAACTTATGCATTATGCTGCATAAGTCTGTGGATGAAACCCTATTGTGTGACCATTCAAATGAAAGCTATTGAGCAGTACTTTCATGTGGTACTGCTTATTATGCCGTACAAGGTGGTTCTAACTTTTAAGTCTGTGGATGAAACCCTAGTATTTGACCATTCAAATGAAAGCTATTGAGCAGTACTTTCATGTGGCACTGTTTATTATGCTGTTCAAGGTGGTTCTATAACTTTTAAGCTGCATAACTTATGCATTATGCTGCATAAGTCTGTGGATGAAACCCTATTGTGTGACCATTCAAATGAAAGCTATTGAGCAGTACTTTCATGTGGTACTGCTTATTATGCCGTACAAGGTGGTTCTAACTTTTAAGTCTGTGGATGAAACCCTAGTATTTGACCATTCAAATGAAAGCTATTGAGCAGTACTTTCATGTGGCACTGTTTATTATGCTGTTCAAGGTGGTTCTATAACTTTTAAGCTGCATAACTTATGCATTATGCTGCATAAGTCTGTGGATGAAACCCTATTGTGTGACCATTCAAATGAAAGCTATTGAGCAGTACTTTCATGTGGTACTGCTTATTATGCCGTACAAGGTGGTTCTAACTTTTAAGTCTGTGGATGAAACCCTAGTATTTGACCATTCAAATGAAAGCTATTGAGCAGTACTTTCATGTGGCACTGTTTATTATGCTGTTCAAGGTGGTTCTATAACTTTTAAGCTGCATAACTTATGCATTATGCTGCATAAGTCTGTGGATGAAACCCTATTGTGTGACCATTCAAATGAAAGCTATTGAGCAGTACTTTCATGTGGTACTGCTTATTATGCCGTACAAGGTGGTTCTAACTTTTAAGTCTGTGGATGAAACCCTAGTATTTGACCATTCAAATGAAAGCTATTGAGCAGTACTTTCATGTGGCACTGTTTATTATGCTGTTCAAGGTGGTTCTATAACTTTTAAGCTGCATAACTTATGCATTATGCTGCATAAGTCTGTGGATGAAACCCTATTGTGTGACCATTCAAATGAAAGCTATTGAGCAGTACTTTCATGTGGTACTGCTTATTATGCCGTACAAGGTGGTTCTAACTTTTAAGTCTGTGGATGAAACCCTAGTATTTGACCATTCAAATGAAAGCTATTGAGCAGTACTTTCATGTGGCACTGTTTATTATGCTGTTCAAGGTGGTTCTATAACTTTTAAGCTGCATAACTTATGCATTATGCTGCATAAGTCTGTGGATGAAACCCTATTGTGTGACCATTCAAATGAAAGCTATTGAGCAGTACTTTCATGTGGTACTGCTTATTATGCCGTACAAGGTGGTTCTAACTTTTAAGTCTGTGGATGAAACCCTAGTATTTGACCATTCAAATGAAAGCTATTGAGCAGTACTTTCATGTGGCACTGTTTATTATGCTGTTCAAGGTGGTTCTATAACTTTTAAGCTGCATAACTTATGCATTATGCTGCATAAGTCTGTGGATGAAACCCTATTGTGTGACCATTCAAATGAAAGCTATTGAGCAGTACTTTCATGTGGTACTGCTTATTATGCCGTACAAGGTGGTTCTAACTTTTAAGTCTGTGGATGAAACCCTAGTATTTGACCATTCAAATGAAAGCTATTGAGCAGTACTTTCATGTGGCACTGTTTATTATGCTGTTCAAGGTGGTTCTATAACTTTTAAGCTGCATAACTTATGCATTATGCTGCATAAGTCTGTGGATGAAACCCTATTGTGTGACCATTCAAATGAAAGCTATTGAGCAGTACTTTCATGTGGTACTGCTTATTATGCCGTACAAGGTGGTTCTAACTTTTAAGTCTGTGGATGAAACCCTAGTATTTGACCATTCAAATGAAAGCTATTGAGCAGTACTTTCATGTGGCACTGTTTATTATGCTGTTCAAGGTGGTTCTATAACTTTTAAGCTGCATAACTTATGCATTATGCTGCATAAGTCTGTGGATGAAACCCTATTGTGTGACCATTCAAATGAAAGCTATTGAGCAGTACTTTCATGTGGTACTGCTTATTATGCCGTACAAGGTGGTTCTAACTTTTAAGTCTGTGGATGAAACCCTAGTATTTGACCATTCAAATGAAAGCTATTGAGCAGTACTTTCATGTGGCACTGTTTATTATGCTGTTCAAGGTGGTTCTATAACTTTTAAGCTGCATAACTTATGCATTATGCTGCATAAGTCTGTGGATGAAACCCTATTGTGTGACCATTCAAATGAAAGCTATTGAGCAGTACTTTCATGTGGTACTGCTTATTATGCCGTACAAGGTGGTTCTAACTTTTAAGTCTGTGGATGAAACCCTAGTATTTGACCATTCAAATGAAAGCTATTGAGCAGTACTTTCATGTGGCACTGTTTATTATGCTGTTCAAGGTGGTTCTATAACTTTTAAGCTGCATAACTTATGCATTATGCTGCATAAGTCTGTGGATGAAACCCTATTGTGTGACCATTCAAATGAAAGCTATTGAGCAGTACTTTCATGTGGTACTGCTTATTATGCCGTACAAGGTGGTTCTAACTTTTAAGTCTGTGGATGAAACCCTAGTATTTGACCATTCAAATGAAAGCTATTGAGCAGTACTTTCATGTGGCACTGTTTATTATGCTGTTCAAGGTGGTTCTATAACTTTTAAGCTGCATAACTTATGCATTATGCTGCATAAGTCTGTGGATGAAACCCTATTGTGTGACCATTCAAATGAAAGCTATTGANTGAAATGGTTGATAGCGTTATTTGACTTTGTTAGCTTAAACAGTAGTTGAAATAAATAACCCAGTGTTGATTCTGTTACATAAATAACTTAATGTTGATTCTTGGTATTAGAGCACTTTTCAATGACTTTCAAGAAGGGTTATTCGTCTTGTTTGGCTTTTCATAGATCATCTTCAAAATCGGTTAAAAAACCTCTCATAGTAAACTAGGGGAAACCAATCTTTATTTGTCTTCTCATGTGCTTGCCACTGATTACATTGTGGTCGAGCTTGGCACAAGTTTCATGTTGTTCCGAGCACACTTTTATCGGTTAAAATCGTGCACACAGATTAGATTGTGTTGCCGCGCTGTGGAAGGCAAAGGAACACACGAACTCTGGTCTTAGCTATTCAACAGTCATCATGAAAAATGCTCTAAACCGTATTGCATAGTTTAAGAGATCCATTTTCCCTCGTGAATTTACTTTTTTTTCGTTTCTTGTCCTGCACTGTAGCATTACCTTCATGAAATTAACGTTCTCGAGCAGAGCATCCAAAAGTACGAATCCCACTTGTCTTGTGAAGGACCGCTGGATGGAGTCAGAGCCTCGAGTTACACTAAACATATGCTTGTACGGTAAGTCTCGCTATTTGTTCTGTTGACTCGTTCTCTCTTTGCCTCTTGGCTCGCATTTGTTCTTATGTATTTCATCGGATAATTCAAGTCGGAAATGGTACAGTTACCGACTGATCCTCACAAAGATGCAAGAAGAATTTCCGGAAATAGCGCGGAGACAGCAAAGCTTACGTCACAGAGGCCGAGTTCAACCTCGTTCGCAAGGTCTCCCGTCTTCCTTTCCAACTGTGTCTCGCACCAGGCATAGGAGCGGAAAGAACAGAGATCCTAGAAATTACACTGATCTGAAGACGGCTTCATACAGTCGAAAATGTCGTCTTCTCTCTTCTAACTCACTTGTTATTGATAGTTTGTAAACCTTAATGAAGCAAAACTTAGGTCACTATTTTGACTGGTTTTGTGTAATTATAACCGTTTTTGTTTTGACAGTTTTCCTGTCTGATCAAATATTTTTCGATTAACGACACTCATTTTGATGCAAGTGCTCGTTATTCTCGCCACACTAGTTCGTTAAACTTTCTTCGTTTCAACTATATGGTGTGGTAAAGAACTTAATTGATATAAGAAGCAGTGATAATCACCGTACCAGCTTAAAATGATCTTTTGAGCAAACTGTTTTCTGAAATACTAATGGAGTTTTTTCTTCTATTTTGTAGTATAACAGAAGAAGTGAACGCCATTCACGAGCTTCGTTTATTGATCAGTTCAGAACTGGAAAGGATGAGGTATTTACTCTCGGAGCGACGGAAAATGCTGCTTGCGGGAGCTACAAGGAGTCCTGTTTGTTCTGGCGTAACTCAAAAGGTAACTTTACCTACAGAAGTTCAACAACTTCACTGAAACAGAGTCTCGACTCCTGGAGTACTTGAATGAACCCCATTGTGTGACCATTCAAATGAAAGCTATTGAGCAACACTTTCACGTGGTACTGTTTATTATGCTGTACAAGGTGATTCCAACGTTTAAGTCTGTGGATGAAACCCTAGTATGTGACCAGATTCAAATGAAAGCTATTGAGCAATACTCTCATGTGGGGTTCTTTATTATGCTGCATAAATCTGTGGATGAAACCCTAGTGTGTGACCATTCAAATGAAAGCTATTGAGCAGTACTTTCATGTGGTACTGCTTATTATGCCGTACAAGGTGGTTCTAACTTTTAAGTCTGTGGATGAAACCCTAGTATTTGACCATTCAAATGAAAGCTATTGAGCAGTACTTTCATGTGGCACTGTTTATTATGCTGTTCAAGGTGGTTCTATAACTTTTAAGCTGCATAACCTATGCATTATGCTGCATAAGTCTGTGGATGAAACCCTAGTGTGTGACCATTCAAATGAAAGCTATCGAGCAGTTCTTTCATGTGGTACTGTTTATTATGCCGTACAAGGTGGTTCTAACTTTTAAGTCTGTGAATGAAACCCTAGTGTGTGTGACCATTCAAGTGAAAGCTACTGAGCAGTACTTTCATGTGGTACTGTGTACTATACTGTGCATGTTAGTTCTTACTTGTTTCTTGGTAGATGTCGTTCTAGTAGTTAATGTCTCCATCCATATGAAGATTTTAAGCTGGCATTTCATTCTTAACCTTTCCATCGTTTATTTTTAAGATGGCGGATCTTCTTCGAGAACAATCGTCGTTGAATATTGGGCTATCGAACATTAGTGATGAATTAGCGATTCGCAAGAAGGCGTCTTGCAGGGCCAGAATATACGCTCACATTGATAGCGCTAAGAAAGAGTTGAAAGAAGAAAGAGAAAAATGCATGAGAGAGTTTCGTGAAGAGGTAAGATTTACACATGTCGTGTTTATTGTTACTGTTCCAAAAAGATCCTCTGGTATTGTTGTGTTGTTTCGCACCATCAAGATATGAATTTGAGCTACTCCTTCAAGCTGAACTTTCCTTTGTATTTTTGTCAGATCAAGGAAACTCTTGCTCGTGAACTAAGTGAAAAGTTTTCAAGTGAAATCAGTTTGCTTCGTCACGAAGTTCGGGTAAGGTTTAGCAGTGTTTTTGTGTTTCATGTCATGTGACTCAGACGCATGCGCATGCTTGACAACAGCAACTTTATTCACTCGTACATTTACAGTTTTATAAGAAATATATATACTGACCGTATTCGCAAAAAGCTCAAAGACATGCCCTGCGGCCACACAAGTGCCTCGACCACCCCCCTGGCTGGGAGATTGGTCCGTCACGCAAGCACGTGGCATGTGCCTCTCCAGCAGGGTCCCGTGCATTGCTCTCCCTGGGTAATCATTTTTTTTATTATTATCTTTCAGGCCAAGGATGCAGTAATTGAACAATTAATGAAGAATCAGGAACAAAAAGATCTGGAGGACTAAACACTTAGAGCGGAAAAAAGGGCAAGCAGCGAGAAAAGAAAAAAGAAGGCAAGGAAAAAAATAAGTTGAACGACTTTTGCTAGCCGTTCTCTTATAGTGCAAATTTTTGTTTTGCTTCGTTCGCAGCTGAGCTCTGAACTCGAATTCCTTCGCAACACACACATAAACAGAAACATTTAAACCTACTGTCTATATCAATGTTCAAATTCTCATTACAGGACTCCATACATATCATAATATCCCAGTTGGGAGAATGTAATAATTCTCCTTTTTATAGTTAGTTTTTGTATCCTTATAATGTGTGTACCATAAGTTTGTGCTGTGTCACAAATGAATTCGCCTTCAAATTACGGTTGACCTGTACTTCTTTAAAACCTCAATTTTGCTTGGCTCTTGGTTATCTGCACGTAGCTCGTTTGTTCTTAGGACTAGGGGCATTGTTTGTGTTTTTTTGTGTGGGTTGTTTACCTACTGTTTCGTTTGGCTAATTATAAAGAATCTTGTAAACAGTGCAGGTCAACACTCAGATTACCTTACATAAAATGCTACTGAGCACTTGCGTCCAACGCCACAAGGTTGTAACATCGAATGATGTAGGTGTTTAGAAAAAAAATTTCATATGCGCTGCTTAGTAACTTAGTGCGGAGCACTAACGTGAGAATCTGGGCCTGTGACATGATGTCTACGTTTTTTTGCCACACGAAACTTTCTTCAGACTGAAGAAATGGTCCAAATAATAATTTGGCCGTGTTGAAAAACACCAGATGGATGAGATTCTCTGATAGAGAAGACCAGATCTCTAAGTTTGGGGAAAACTTAGGCGGATTCTTAAACCGCAAAATTCATAAAGGCTCTACAGTTTTTGTATCGTTGAATGTTTAGATGTTATCTTGAACTGTAGTTAAATTGTTTTCTAGGCTCTGTGCATTCTCGTCCCCAAAAGAAACGGAGGCTCTGGGGACGAGAATGGGCTCTATGAATCAAAGCTGGTCATGCGCTGTGTGGTGCAGATCTTTTGCCAGCCAGTCCTCCGCGTTGAACGCGTTATGCGACCGCGCGCTTTTCACCGAGGTGTAAAAAATGAAAGCAAAATATTTTGTAGTAGAAATTTACTTGTGGCTGGCCACAGTAACCATGGATGATAATATCCATATCATTTATTAAAAGTTATAAATTTATTACCTAGTATAGACTTCAGCATAGCTTATAATATATTAGAGAAAAATTTACGTGCAATAAATTATTATAAGTAATATATATTTATTTTGTGAAAAGTAATCTGAATAATATCAAACGCAATAAATTCCACGTAGTATACAATTAAATGATATTGTTTTGTTAGTTGCTTTTCTTAAATCGCCAATTACAACCGATGGATGGATAAAACCTTAATGATTTGTACATAGAACGTTCCTTTTAGATAAATGTCAAAGGAGTCGATGAATCCACACCCTTGACAAGGATTCATCGCCTTGCATACGACTGGCGCGCCTGGAATTTGAATTGACCAATCAGGATTCAGATGGCGGGGAAAAAACTGTACTGTCCTGACGTCAATGTATGTTAACAGTCTTAACAGGAAAAGCATTGCAGTCGGGCAACTTTTTTGCACTGGAGACGGCACTGAATATTCACGGAAAGGGATTTATAATTCCAAAAACCATATCAGATTGTAGAAAGTGAAAACGTTTTGTGTCTCCAAGCTTTGAATTTGGCGCCAAAAGGGGTCACCGGCGTCCTGTAACTCGCTGGTAGTTCGTCGAGTGTCGACAGGTAGGAAAATAGTTGTGTTATTTTGAACAAAATATGTTGTTCCTCGTCAAATTAAACCCAGAATTCTCGAGTTAAGTATTAGAAAAGACCAAAGCAACTTTAGCATTGTCTTTAATTTTGTTGGCTGCGAAGAAAAAGACTATTATCGTTTCGTTTCGGTAGAACAATTCGGTTTTGACTGCCGTTCGTATTGCGGTTGCACTCGCCGTATGCAAGGCGGTTTCAAGTTAAATGTCACAACAAAAATTTTGTCTTGGGAAGATTAAAATGGATTCCAAAATCCCAATTTTGATTAATTATGGTATATAGAATCATTGCCAATTAAACCTGCACGTGCACGCTATCACACAATTGGTCCATCACAGATAACAGGTAAATTAATTAAACTTACATCTTCATAACATTTAAAAGGAAAAGAAATAGAAATTTTTTCTCTATACATACATACTCATAATTCATTTGCAAAGGTCTAAAACAAGTTTAGCCTCAGGACTGACGTGGACCTTAACATCAAAGAACACGTTTAAACAATACAAATAAATACCTAGCCACTAATACTAACACTGATAATTTAGACGCAATATAAATATGCTGCTATCAACATGCCGTGATACCACAACTGACTAATCACAGCACATGTGAAGGGTGGAATTAACCAATCAGATCTCAAAGCAGAAACATAATTAACAATTAATTATAATTTATAACGCGCAGACTTGCATTTAATGCTCAGTCACTCAAAAACAACAAACATACAACTGGCTCCCAGAGGGCGCGAAAACACCCAATCCATTTGACGATTAATTTCGGTTTTATTAATTATTGGTTGAAGAAAAATCTATCTCAATTCAACTGCGTAGCTGTCACATATCGTACGAGTTTTAAACTAGTCAGAGAACTTAGCAAATCCGAAGGTTAAGTCATGATCTGTATAGTCAATCGCTCTTAATGCAAACAACTTTTGAGTGAAATTGATTTTTAGCACAACCAATATTATTTCGAAAAGAAATCTATTGTTCTGGAAATGACAAAAATGGTTATATTTGTTTGTAAAATCCGAGAAAAAAAAATGTAAAAATTCTGAAATCAGAAGTGATTTGTCGTGGCTTATCTGAAAAACACATTAAATAGATCTTTAGAAGTGTTACGGTAAATTAACTTACTACTGAAACAATTATACGTATTAATTACTGTGTAGCTCTAAATCTATGGTCAATTATGCTTATAAGTTTTTAACTAAATCATTTAAATTATTTGTTTCTCTAAACGGCAAAACTGACCAAAAAGCAACAAAAACAGCACTAGCCGTATGTTCAATGTTTAAAATAACATTTCTGCAAGAAGTTCTGTGTGTCATATCAGGCTATATTGCCTGCAGACTTGCTCCAAAATTACTCTAACACCATCCACGGCAGACACCAAATACATTCGAAAACAGAAATGTTATACGTTATAATTTAAGAATATTCACAAGAATATTTTCAGCCTAAAGTCGGCAGAAAAATAAGAATATTCAGCCTCGGCCGGAAAAGCATTATTCTTATATGAAAAAAAGAGTGCACGTAACTACTGTGCAACTCTTAATCTATGGTTAAATAGATATATAGAAGATTTAGTCATCTCGACTAGAACCATCTTGTGTAAATAGAGCAATAAGTCAAAGAAATGTTATCATCATTTCGAACAACCCATCAAGGCAACGTTGTCAGGTATGAGCGGCAAATCCTGTCAATTTCAGAGGAATAACATGTTAGTAAAGGCATTTTAGGAAAACTTATGATACAGTTAAAGATTTTTTAAGATGCGCAAATCGTGACGTAGCTCCTTTAAAGTGTTAAAAAGTGTTCCCTTGGCGAAAATGGTGTTACCCAGATGATCATGTCACACAACACTCCTCTCCAGTGGAGATATTGACTTGGGTAATAGTGGGTCGTCAAGCTTTGAATTGTTTCAGTATAGTCGTAACACAGCTTGTCACTCACCTTTCATTTAACTGGCTTTTATCAAGTTAAGCTTTCTGGTGTGAACACGCTGATGCTTTGAAAGAGTTGATCTGAATGAGAGAAAAAAGGAAATTAAAGCTAACTCTTTTCGTCTCATGGCGAACCTTGAAAAGCCCCTCGTCGATTTAATAACTGAAAATTTCAGTTAGTAAATTTCAGTTACTACTACTACTTAGTTAGTAGTAGTATTTTTAGTCCTAGATCTAGTTTTAAAGCTTACTTGTAGTCTTACGTTTTTGATTTTATTATTTCTGTATTTTAGACATTTAATGTGTATTTCAGACTTTATTTTTTAGGGGACCCTCCTGAAAACCACCTCTAGGTGATTGGAGGCCTCCTCTTGAAATGCTAATGTATTATATTATGTTATTAATTTATTATTATTATTATTATTATTATTATTATTATTTGCACGGCAAACAATTGATGATTTTCGTTATTCTCTTCACATGTTTGTGTCACATTATACAGATATTGTTACAAGAGAAATTAGAGATTGATCACTCTGGAATTCTTTTTTGTCCTCAATCTTAAAGCAGCAGTGAAGAGCCTGTGCTCCTTAAGGTGCAAATCTCTCTATCTATATTTTTAATTTCACAAATAAAATTTTCAAAACATCGCTGTAATACAACTAACACCGTCCTAATTTAGTTATGTGGGTGCAATTTCTTCAAATGGAAATCTCAACACTGTTTGCAACAGACCGACAAAACTATAAACTGCAGCCAAATTAGATGAAAAGTTGTAAAAACTCACCTCTCAGCAAATGTCATTCCACACTCAGCACACTTAAAGGGCCGCTCACCAGTGTGAGTGCGCATGTGCGTAGTAATCGAGGAGGACTGGGAGAAACATCTTCCACACACAGGGCAAGGGTAGGGTTTCTCTCCTGTGTGAGTTCTCAGGTGTGCCACCAGGTTTGCTGACTGGGCAAAGGCTTTAGGACAGTAAACACACTTGAAAGGTTTTTCACCGGTATGCCTTCTCATGTGAACAACCAAAGACGATTTGCGAGAGAAGGATTTGTTACAGGTTTTGCATTGAAATTCCTCTTTCTTCAGAGCTTTAGAGCAGTCCTTCTTTGCCTTTGTCATGGCGGCATTCTTAATGAGAAAAGAGACATACAGTTTTTTTCATAAGGCAAACTGCTCCACGACAATAAGGAACAGTCGCTCGAGAGCCACGAAGTCCTACGTGCGGGGGACTCCCACGTATAAAGGACGGACGGGGGTGCTCGTCATACCTTTTACGGGTTAAAAAAGCGCTTTCGGTGCCTCTTGGGGTATTCAGCCTCAAAAGCTCCACATCAGGAGTTTTAGCGGTACCTTTTAGGGTATTGAGCCGAAAAAAGTCAGTGCAGTTAATGTGTTGTTTTAGAATTGGTACCCCTTAGGGGCGAAAAAAATTTCAAGCCACGGCCACAAAACGGTACCTTGGTTCCCCTTGGGGTTCTTTTTAAAATTTCTCCCCCGGGGGTCCTACGTAAGATGAGAAAAAAGAGGTGGAGAAGAAAACTTCTCGATGTTGAGGGAATCGGTAGATACTGAATTCACAACATTGCATGATATTTTGTTTTAAAAAAAGGATGGAAATCGAAATAATTGCAACCATTTCATTATCTGCACGACTAGACAGTACGTTTTATACAATGACGACTTAAACTGATTTACTGCGATAGAAAGAGATTAAAGGAGCTAAGTCATGGTTTTCCACAACTTAAAAAGTTTAGCCTGAATTTTTAAGTTCGTCGTTTGTAATCCGTGACAATCTTCTCCATCCTTATCCATCCTCGTTCCTTTTTGGCTTATTTTTATCTCTTTGGTGTTTTTCTATCATAGCAAACTACTATTTTCAGGTTTCCTTCAATTTAAAGGCAATTTTGTAGGTGGCCAAAATAACTTGATTCTCTTGGTTTAATATACTGCCAGTCTGCCCCACATGGAGTGTTATTTTCAAAACTCTGCTCTTTTCGGAAATGCAAGTTCCCTCGATCGGTCAGTGATGTCTTTCATATTCTAGTTAGTGAGAATTGAATTTTCGTATCAACAGACACTAGATGAAAGAATTTGTTACCTGAAAATTAATTGGTGATCCGTCTTGCAGCACCGCTGGCCATGCATGTGCGCTCTGCGGGCTCAGAGCATAGAGCACATGCGCGGCGGAGTTAATCACGGGACGGCCATATTGTGGAGGTTGTTGAGCCAGGGCGTCTCTACCAATGTAGGGAAATTGACAAGGACAACTGATGCATGGAGGCTTCAACTGTTTTGTAGTTAGTTTCTTTGGATATTGGCTGCATATTTGTAGAGATAGAAAAACACATCTAGCCATAATTTCAGTTTAAGTTATGTATCTTACACGGTCGTGATATCCATTTACCAAATAAATACCTTGTTCTCTTTTGTGCTGTGGCTAGGTAGGGCAGCATTTTAGGTGGGAACCCTGTGGCAAACTTGCTGAACGCAAATCTAAGACTGGTGACTGGGTGGTGATTACGGTTATATACAGTCTTTTTCGGGAGTTGATAAAATGCTTATTTTGTGGCTGTT